TGCCTTCAGGACATCTCCCATCTTTTCATATCGGCTTGTTTTATTCTTATGGTTATTAAATTTATTGGCATGACATTGGTTAATAGAATTGTATAGGTTTCAAGTGTACATCTTTCTGACAGATGACCTGTTTGTTGCATTGCCTTTGCCCACAGAGGCAAATCTCCTTCCACCCTATGCGTCCACCATATGCGTGACGCCCGCCGCCCTTCACTACCTCCCCACCCCCTTGCCCCTCTGGTGACCACCATGCTGTTGTCTGTGTCTATGGCCTGTAGTTTGTTTTTTCATTTGCTGCCTTCCGTTTTTATATCCCACACATGAGTGAAATCATGTGGTTCCTGAAGTTTTCTGACAAAGTCTGTTTATTATTGACTTTGTGCTGCCTGTCTCTCACATACCAGGATGTAAGCTGTTTGAGAAAAGAAATCTTGGGGTCTTGCTCTAGAGCCCAGAACTCTGTTTGGCACATGATTCATTGCTCATTACATATCTTTTGAAAGAATACATGACTATTATTGCCTAGGTGAACCTTTTATTTAAAAATCCACACACTTGTTATTGAAGGGCAGTTTTATTCAAGGTAAATATTTTTCCATTTGCCTTGAGTACAGTTTGTTAGTTTTCTTTCTGTTTCTCTCCAAAATTGAGCTCTCACAAGGTAAAATGTCCATTTTCTTGCTCTGCTTTATGCATTAAGGTGTACAAGAGTACGAGCTGCTTCCGCGAGCTGCAAAGGCTGCACCCTGCTCCTCCTTCGGGATAAGCCCTGTTTGTAGGCCAACAAAATGTTGGGTCACATGTTTATATCGGCAAATAAATGTGTCTATAGGATGGAAATGGATGTGTATACGAAATAAACTCCGAATGTCTATTCAGGTAGACAAACTTGTGGCTATATTTTTTTAGCTTTCAGGATATGAAACAACATGCTGTGCCTAATTGCCACAGTTTTAAAAGCTGGTATTATAAAAACCAAGGTCATTTCTCAGTTATGGGAATGTTTTGACTGTATCTCAACCCATTTATCCAAAGAGCAAATTGAAATAAATATTGTTACCTGATAAAGATAAAAGTGTCTGTTTTTTTCTTTTTTCAAACCCATTTGGATGTTCCTCCTTTCCGTGAAATCACTTTCAGTTTATTTCCAAATAGAATTCGTTATATTCTTGTTGTAGATGAAATTATCCTCAAGTTCCCTAATTGTTTTGTAGACATTGCTTTTCTCAATAGAGACCAACATAATCATAATGTGAACTAAATTATAATATTGCTTACTGTTAAATGTGGTATTCTTGATCACTTTATTTATATGGGTTCCTTTATTTATGAGGCTTCTTGAAATAAGTGATATATCTATAATAATCATGGTGAACTTAGTAAAGAATGAATACTGCCCACCTGGTGGTTTTGACAACCAGAGATCAGCAGCTAGAGCATGTTTAGTACAGAGTAGGAGTTTAGTAAATACTTGTTAAATGAATCTTTAACAATGTTATTGGCAGTTCTTTCACAGACTATCTTATTTTTCTGATCTTATGAAGTATTGACATCGGTTCTTAAGCTACTGAACTTTATTTTAGGGAAGAAACCGATACAAGTGGAGAAAGATAGAGTGTCTTTCATACATGCCTGGAAGATCTAAGTAATCTAAAGTTCTAAAGTTCATGATTTCAAATGCCAGGCGTACTTCGGTGAATGGTGCTGGTGTAATCTATGGTTCTTTATCTCTTCTTTTCTTTTTTAATAGCATAGCTTCTAAAAATGCCTCAAACCAAAAAAAAAAAAAAATTCAAAAGCTCTGAAATTTCGACTATGACAATAATTAAGAAAATGCAGAAAGGGCACCGGTAGATTTTTAAAAACTATTTTAATACAAGATTAATAGCAATTTTCTATCCAAATCAGAAATGAAAAAATCTTAACCTAAATAATATTCATTTGACAGTCACATAAATTGTAGGTTTTATTGGTGCACACATTTTTCCTGCATATATATTATGCATATGCACACAGAGACCTCACTTTTAGGCCATTCTTGGGTTTCTTTTCATGGTAGGACCTCCTTGCAAGGCAAGGTCAAGGATTCCGGTAACTTTTCAGCTCTGAATGAGGTTCACACGGCCCCAGGCTAGGCTGAGTCTCCACGTTGTCGCACACCACGATCTAGCAAGGCTCCAGGATGTGTACAGATCAATACTTTATTCGTGTAATTTGGCCTAAAACTAAACACTGGCTAACGTGTCCACCGAGGAGGAACACATTGCAAATTTACAAGTTACGGTCTCCTTTATTCTTCTGCTGCCAAAGCTAAACTGCCATTTTTTGGTTGGTTTGCTCATTTTAAAGTTAAAAGTCAGGTCTGTGAGTGACTGTGAATAAATGAAAATGAATTTGAATTTCTGCAAGTTTTGGATAAGTCAAAACTTGCATTTGCTAACACTTCCACGTTTAATTAAACCACTTGACAATTAGCCTTGCAAATAGAAGTAACAAAAGAATCACAACTCAGGAATTTGCGAGGTTTTTATTCCTCCTTGGGGACTTTAGTTGGTGTTCAGTGTGTAGCCAAAACATGTATGTAATGGCTAAAGAATTAAAGTAGGCTAATGTCTGCAGCAGGGAATATAAATTAAATACCAGGGTTCTGCGTCCAATAATATTTTCAGTGTGTTTGAATTATAGAATGTTACTTTTATAATTAATACATCTTGTCAATGAACAATAGTGTTTTTCAGTGTAGACAAAGTAGTATTTTCTATCCCTTACAATGAAAACAGGTAATACAAGCTATGTATCTGGGTAAATCACCGTAAGGGAGTCAGATCACTGTTGCTAAGGTTGTTCTAGGATGGTTGTCATCAAAGTGCCGACTTGACCTTCATTAAAATGACAAAAGGTCATCGTGGCTGTCCTTCAGTACAGAACCATAAGCAGAGCTCTGATTCGTGAATTTGGAATTCACTCTTCTCTGCTAAAGACTTTAGCCTCTGTTTAGCTTTTGTCATAACATATACAAAGTATAATATACACCAATTACAGATGTGTATTTCTGTTAGAAAAATACATATTATAACTAAACATGTAAATAGAGGCACTTCAATAAGCTAAGTGTTTGCAATTATGAGCATCACCCGACAATTTCTAGTGTCCGATTTCAGTGAGCCCATTCCTCTCTACTTGAAACAGAGGTTATGATGTCATCATGGAATTTTGGGGACACCAAAGCAAAGAAGTCAGGTCATGAAACATAATGGAGCATCCTTGCTTCCCCTATCACCATGCTGAAATGAGAGAAGTTAATTTGGCCAGGGGTGGGGTGAGGTGAGGTGATTCCAAAACAGGGTATCGAGATTAAATGAACTGTCATGAGGCAAAAAAAAAAAAAAAAGGTAAATTAGCCTGAAAGTCTATGACAGATTAAGATGATGATAAAAACCAGAAAGTACAATTTGAATAACATTTTGACCACATTCGTGCAGGTGACTAGTACTGTAGCGTCATTAACTGACAGTCATTTCAGCTCTGCCTGGCTCAAATGGGTCACTATGTCTAACCAATATGAGTACCATGAATACCTAAGGCGCTGAAACAAATGAAGCAGGTGTTTGTATCTTATCGGTGTGTTTCTTGTGTACAGAACCTGGGTTCATATTCATTATTGTAATGTGCATTCACACACATGCACAAAACCATTTTGGGTTGAAAGCACATGGAAAACAAGGCATTCTGATCTATTTCACAGAAGACAATGCAGTCACATTTTACAAAGGAAAGACTTGGTGTTTAAAGCCATAAAAACAAATTATTACTCAAATATCTGGCAAATCAAGGTTGATTTAATTTGTATTGCACCTTAATTATTTGGAGAAAGACAACACTGATTTCTGAACATACAACAAAATGAGCAACATAAATGACTGGTCCTTCATAAAGATGTTTTATGTGTAACTTGGTGATAGAAAGCTGAAGTTTGGCAGTGAAGTGTTTTTCCAGACATATGTAATGCTGAATTAAGCTAAGTGTTAATTTCATAAAGATTTAAATGAAAAGATGCCACAAAGTCTCTCAGAATCCTATGTTTCATATTTCATTAGGCATACAATAGCAATAGAGGCTTCTAAATACTTTGTTTTGCAAAAGTGCTCAATTATACTTGATCCTATTGTGCCGCATATATCCTACTTTAATGTGATGACTAAATCAATAACTAATTATAATTTTGATGAAAAGGGGGATTGAAAAATACCATTTACGTGTCGTTACTGTCAATGGGTTAATTAAAATGTGACTGGTATACTATGGTGTCTTAAAACACGACTTTTCCCAACCCAAGATGAATCACAAAAACCTAGAAATACATGGATAGCCAACTGTATTCATAAAGCCCCCATTTGGTTTTTTTGCTTTTCTCTGTCGGGGGAGCATGGGGCCTTGCTTTGGCACACTTGGTGGATCAGTTAAGCTGTGCCTCTAAATTGGCCGCTTGCATTGGGACATTTCTCCAAGTGCCAAGCTGGAATCCTAGGCTGAAGGCGTCGTACGTGAAAGCAATGGTTTTGCGAGAATAACACATTCTTTACGCACACGATTTCCATCACCAGAAAAGTCCTAGACACCCACGGCTCTCTCCATGAGCTTGGTCCGGTCTGGAGCATCCAGGACAAAGCACGCTCATGCAAAAAGGGTGTGCCCTGGCAAACTTTTAATAAATGGACAGTTAGATACGTAAAAAGATCTCTTTCTTGATTCTTGGTGCTCACAGATCATTGAAGAATCCCTTCTCTGAGCAGCACAAAACAAGAAGAGCTGGTTGACAAAACATTTTTGTTACAAAGGTGTGTCAACCCTGAGCTTGGAATTAAGAAGTTAAAATCTGTGATTTTTTATATATATATATATAGATATAGATATAAAAATAGATGATCATACTAAGACTAAAAAAGTGAAAGAAATCTCCATGTCAATACTATATATATATTTTTTGTCTTGACTTTTTTTTTGTTGTGAGTTATTTTCTAAGAGAATGCCCTTGTAATGCAGAAACCAAATGACACAAAGCAAATAGCTAAACATAAAAACTCGATCTCATTGCTTGTCAGGTCATTAAAAGAACTCTTCCTTTGGGAGGGTGATGAGCACAGGGGCAGAGACCGAATTGATGTCCAACCTGCGGCTAAAGCAAAGTGATTGCATTGTTGATGATTATTTTCAATTCAGACCCTTGAGGAGGAGGAATTGATGGCGGTGTCCACTAGTAACCGAAGGAGAAGGGGGAAAATCTGCGCCGGTTGGATCCAGTGGACAGACGTGAAGAGAATTAAGGGGAATGGGACCCTCACTGCAATTGCATTTGGGCGGGGTGAGAGAGAGGTGCTGAGTTGTAGCACTATTTTGTGTCACGTTAAAGATAGAATTCTAAATTTAGTGTCAGTACCTCTACATCAGTTTGGCGTTGTGTGGTTAGAGTGCAAGACGACACCTCCAAGACAACAGCGTATTTTCACTACACTACAAACATTCTTAAACTTTCTCACCATCGCAATTTTTTTTTTTTTAAACCTGATTAGTTACAGAAAAGCATACACTGGGAGTTGCCTGGCAATGCTGAACCTACAGCGTTAAAGCTCTTTTATTTTTCTCTCTTGTTTGCTTCTTTGCTGAAAACGCAGTTGTCTTGGGGTTTGGCCTGATTTTACAAAGAAAATTATTTTCTTCTTCCTTTTCTTAAAAGTTGTTAGAAACGGGGAGAAAGAAACTCACAACGTGAGATTCCTTTACTTCTGCAGCATAAAAGCAAATGAAGGTAAGAAAATCTCCTGGTACGAAAGATTTGAGTAAGAATTCTCTAGAAGAAACAAGGTCCGCACAGAGAGTGAAGGGAGAGGACGCAGTCCAGTCTGGCACCCGGTTCTCTTTGGGAAAACAAAAAGCGAGGCAGAGTGCAGTACTGCTCTTCTCACGGAAACGGTAAGTTTTTGTGGCGTGGTCCATTGTCCGAGAGTGTAAGAAAGGAAGTGAGTCAGCTGTTCAAAGAGCGAAAATGCAGTCTCATCAGACCCCAAACCCAGGATTATCTGCGCAGTCTCTGCAAGGCCAGGGCGATGCAGGCGAGGGACGCGGAGAGCAGCGAGGGGCCGAGCTGGGCCGCCGAAGAGTCCACTTCTCTCCGGTCGGGATCCACGGCGGGGGCCTCCGTGGTGACGAACTCAAACTCCGTGGGACACACGTCATCCATGCACCCACTGCCACTCCCGGAACCGCTGGATTCATCGCCTGCGGTGGGCAGATGGACAAAGCACGTTAGACCACAACCTGGAAAGACTGGAGGGCGCGGTGGATTTGGGCATAGGGTGGGAGGGGCCATCTCCCCGCAGAAAGCTGCCCCCCCAGCCCCCAGCAGACCTCCGCGGCCTTGCATTTTAATGGGCAGCTTTGTGATTGGCAAATGGACTGTATCAGAGTAGATGTAAGAAACACGATTGCATTGATATCCAGAGGTACCCGACTAAGGAACACGTGACTTCCAGTCCTAAGGAGAGGCGGTACCCACCATGTTGGCTTTGGCAAGGTATTTCTCACTCTGGCCAACATTTAAATTACTTTAAGAATTCCATTCTTTGCCCTTTTTGTATCTCGGAGCCATTGTCCTTTGCGATTATCATGCTTTTGGAAAGGATTTTGGAAGGGTTTTTTTTTTATTTTAAAAGATTTTATTTATTTATTTTTAGAGTGAGGGGAAGGGAGGCAGAAAAGAGAGGGAGAGAAACAAAGGTTGATGGCCTCTCTCATGTCCCCAACCAGGGGACATGGCCTGCAAGCCAGGCACGTGCCCCGACCAGGAATTCAACCAGTGACCATTCGCTTTGTGGGACAATGCCCAACCCACTGAGCCACACCAGTGAGGGCTGGAGGGATTTCTTTAAGTAAGGGGGAGTAGAAAGGGAACGCTTTTGCATTGTTGGGGGGTTTACAGACTCATGCAGCCACTGTGGAAAGCAGTATAGAGATACCGCAAGAAGTTAAAAATGGATCTGCCTTTGACCCAGCACGTCCACTTCTGGCACTATGTCCCAAGGAATCCAAAACACTAATTTGAAAGAACCCCTATGTTCATTGCAGCGTTATTTACAATCGCCAAGATCTGGAAGCAGCCGAAGTGTCCATCAGTAGATGAGTGGATGAAACACCTATGGGACATTTACACATTGGAACACTACTCAGCCATAAAAAAGAAAATTTTACCCTTTGCAACAGCATAGAAGGACCTAGAGATCATTATGTGAAATAAGCCAGTCTGAGAAAGACAAATACCATATGATTTCACTCATATATGAAGTCTAATGAAGGAACTGAACTAACAAGCAAAACAGAGGCAGACTCGTAGGTAGAGAGCACGATGAGAGCTAAGGTGCGGGGACAGGTGTTGGGGTGGGGGGGTCTAGTAAAAAAGGAAAAAGGGCTCATGGACAACAGTGTGGTGACTGCAGGGGGAGGGGGTAAAAGGGGCTTCAATGGTAACGGAAAAAGTACAATAGAAATTATTTTAAAAGTATGGAGGACTAACAGCAGAGAAAAACAAACGCTGCAAGTAGGAACTTAGAGGAGCACAGCACAGTTGTGGAAGGCACATATTATTATCACTTCTGACCACTTTCTTTCCACCTCTGCTCCCCTAAGAACAAGGTTGGACTTTGTTTCAGCCCGTCCTTCCCCTGAAACCAAGGCCGATGTGGTTCCCAAGCCGATCTGGCCCCCTGCTTGTGATTGCAGCCCAAGAATGGTTTTCATGTTCTTGAGTGTTTGGGGGGAGGGGAATGAAAAATAACATTTTGTGACATGTAAAATGTGTATATGTGGAATCTAAAGTTCAGTGTCTGCAGACAAAGTTACAGTGGAATACAGCCCTTCACTTACACATTGTCAAATTTGGGGTTCACATAGGGCCCTCCCAGCGGAACATAACTTCATAACTGATCCTTTACCAAAAAAAAGCTTGCCATTTCCTTCTTGCAAGCAGCGCCTGGGGGCCTGAGCACCGTGTGGTCTCAGCGCAGCGTCTGTCTTGCTTGACCGGCACACCTCTGGGTTTGCCTTACTTCTTCCTGCTCGGCGCCTTCCAGTTTCATAAACCCTGGGTCTCCGGACCGGGGTCCAGATCAGGCTCCGCCCATTCCTAGCCATGTGCCAGTGTGTTGTTTACTTGTCTTCCTGTTTCCTGTTAATCCCCTCTATGAGAACGGAAACTTGTTGAAGGCAGAAATCTTATGTCACTGGTCATGATCCCCATTGCCTTTAGCGGTCCTTGGCATAGAGCAGGTGCTCAATAAATAATTGGTTAAATAAATAAATGGGCCTTGGGCCGTTTACTCAACTTCTGCCAGTTTCCTCCTCTCATCAAATGTGGACAGTAAGATTTACCTTGCAGACTGTGTGGGAAGACACCCCGGTACAATGCGTGCGGCCACAAATCCCAGCGCTTGCAATGAGGGGTTCCTACAGCAAAGGCCACCTAGGTTTTACCTTGCGATATTTTATGTAAGTGAATTAGGGCCAACCAGTTAGCCTCACTGAGGCTCTGTTTCCTCTGCTCTAAAAATGAGAGTAATCCTATCTCTCTCACAGAATTGTGAAGGGGTGTTCAAGAGATAAGGTTCTGGGGAGGGCTCAGGAAATTGTAAACCTGGTCGTGACACTTGCTGCTTCCCCCACGTGCTCAATGATTCCATCCAATAGCCCCAACTCTTCCCCGCTGGCTGTGAAGGGTGATGGGCTTGCTAATTGCTCAGCTGCTCCTGAAAGGTGGGTACCATTTTGGCCGCTTGATGCTGCTGGGGTAGAGCTAAGGTAATGTCTCTTGGAGGACAAAGGTACAACTCACCACAAAGTTTTTTTTTAAGGGACCTCTAAATACCAGGCAAATTCACTTGAATACACTAAACCAGGTTCTTAACATTTTCTCTGATTTATCTTTAGTGGCCTTTAAAAGAGGGGAAAGGCCCATTAATTAAATCCAGAGAAATCAGAATTGCTAAGGGGATTGTTCTGAACACCAGTATTATGAGCGAGAAGTAATATAACCTTTACAAAGATATTATTAAAGAGGTTTGGAATATTAAAATGTGGTAAGCAAATAATGACAAGCTTTCAGAGGAGAAAAGTAATGGCCCCATCTCTTTCTGAAAAGGGATCACAAAATTTTTTGTGATTTTTAAAAATGTCAAAAACAGTATGGGTGATGATGGCTAGAAGATGTGATAATGGTTTGTGCCCTAAAATAAAGGGTCAAATTTCATATTTGGGTTAGAGTTAAGTGACAGTCTCTCTCTCTCTTTTTTAAAATTTTATTTATTTATTTTTAGAGAGGAAGGGAGGGAGAAAGAGGGAGAGAGACATCCATGTATGAGAGAGATATGGATAAGTTGCCTTTCGCACGCCCCCAACTGGGGACCTATCCTGCAGCTCAGGCATGTTCCCTGACTGGGAATTGAACCAATGACTTTTCATTTTGCAGGCGGGCACTCAATCCACTGAGCCACACCAGCCAGGGCGTGACTCTCTTTCTTAACTGTTGCTGATTTTTGTTTTCTTTTGCAGCAAAACTCTCTTCAAGGACATTCCCTAAGCATTGCAGATTGACATGCATATAACCTTTTTAGGTCAGAGAGGAGAAACAAGGCCAACATCAACTAATTGTTATGCATCTTGAATAATTTATTCCAATAGTCATTATCTAGATAATGAAGCATTTGGTTAGCTAGAGAAGAGAGAATGGATAAATTGAGATGAGTGAGGCCAAGTAAGGAGCAAGGGAGAAGCAGAAAAGGCTAAAAGCTTATGTAATATTTTCTTCTGAAGAGAAAAGGAGAGGCTTTGTAAAGAGAAAGAAAAATAATGGGATGAGTCTGAGACATTTTATAGCAATGAAGTCTATCTGGTTGGCAATTATCCTGTATTTAGACAATTAATTTTTGTTATTTAAAATAGAGCAAAGCACTAAAATTTTTCTGCAGGGGACAACTCAGTAGGATGATGGCTAAGACTTAGATGACTTAATGTCTTCCATCTGTGACTTCTTTCTAACTCATTAATTCAAGCACACAAGCATCATCTTTTGCTTCAGTGACCAAATTGCAAAATCACTGGCAACTCCACATCTCATGTTCAAGAAATCTTTCCCTGTGAGCTCTCTCTGCAAGGGTACTTACTTAAAACCAAAAACAACAAAACAAAAAATGAAAAGAACCTGCCTTAATAGTTTCATGTCAGTGTTCACCTAGTAGCCTTTCAAATCATTCCTGGTGCTTTTACGATATTTAATACAACAGTCAAGAGTAATACTGCATCTATATTTTACTATTTCTCTCAATAGTTAGACATAATAGTCGATGGTTCCTGTATGTGTGTGACTGGATAGGGAGAAATGAGTCCATGGCACATGAAATATTATCTTAGCTCCTTTAAATATGGCCTCAAATGAACTTCCCAACAACTCTTAGGCAGGGTTGCTTCACATTCCATAGAACAGGAACTTGAGACTCAAGAAATAGTTTGCATAGACCGCAGTTAAAAGTGATAAAACAGAGATTCTGGCCCAGCCTTGTCTGAGCGATCTTTAGAACATTCTTCTTTTGGTGGTTGGGGGTGGGGGAAGAGGGCAGGAGTCGGGGACAGAAACACAAATGCTGATGGGGACAGGAGAAAGTAAAAACACTACTTTGTTGCTTTATCATTAAGGGATCAACTGGCAGATGAAGCACAATTTTAACTTTGGCATAGCTGAATGCAACCCACTAAAACCTGGTGGATTGCATCCTGAAGACCAGCCATGATTTTGGTAGGATCCTAAGTTCTGTGGATCAGAGCTTTCTGTCCAATGGACTATAAACAGCTTTAAAGATTAGGCAAGAGTGACACAGGGTGAAAGGTGTACATTGCTCTTGAAGAGAAATGGCGGTACTCTTCAATAACCATTGTTCCCTCTGGCAGTCACTGGGAAAGGCTTCCTTACTTGTGTCCTGGAAGTTGACGTCATTGCCATTGTATGCATTCTTTAGTTTGTTGGTCATCACTCGGAGAGCCATGATCTGCTGCCTGATGAACGTGTCGGGCCGGGTGATGTCCACGTCCACCTCCGGATTGTTGATCTGGTTGGTCAGGCCGTCGTTCATGATCTCAGGCAAGTATCTGCCGGGCACAGAGGGAGAGAACAGGTGAGGGTGAGGCAGGAGGGACCTGGAAACCAGGTTCTGTCACGCTGTTTCTAACCGTGAGCCGAAACATCAGCAGAGGCTGGGCCTGGCGCCTGGAAAAAGGGGCAAAGTAAAAACATGCAGTGAGGGATTTCAGAGGGAGATACGGCTAAAATGGCTTCACGGCGATTTTCTTAGGTAGGCTTGTCTACAAATGAAAGCTCCATTGAAAACTCACAGAAATTATTACCTAAAATTAACTTCCCTTTCTGCCCCCTTCCCCAGTGTTAGACACTTAGTCAAGAACTTGATAGCTTCCTCAACTGTCCTGTGAATTTTGCTAGTAACAACTAAACTTGCAGATTACGTATGATCTTAGAAAGGGTGCTCTTTCCAAATGGAGTAGGCTGTACCTCAGATTTTAATCAGAAGAATCTTCCCGATTAAAAAAAAATCTTTGGAAAGTTTGTGGAGTCACCACGGATTGCTGGAATACTTGAGGTGTCCATTAGGGTTTTTCTTTTGTAATAGAATCTTGGGTCTAATTCCATGTTGTGTACAACTGAAGGTAAAAGCTAATGGTTCTTTAATGTTCTTACTTGTACTGAAGTGGCAAATTTATATTAATACTTCTTTTATTTGTCCTAAAATATTGAAACGGTCATTCCTTCAATCTCAATGGCCTAAGCTGCCGAGGTGTATTGATACCAGGGGAGACTGAATTGCTCAGAAAGGCGCTTGGAGCGCCTTCTGACTTCTTCCTCTCATAACCTGTCGGCTTCCCTTCCTCCTACCCTCCTTCTCACAAAGCTTCTCCCGCCCGCTTCTCCCCCAGTTCCCACGTCCCTTGCTGGCGTGCAGAGAGCTACAGCAGCCTCACACTGACTTCCTTGTTCTGTCTTTCCTTTGTAGTACCTTCTGCACAAGCCATCTGATTCACTTTCATAAAAATATTGCCTTCATCATGTCGTTCTTCTGTTTCAAAACTTTTGGTGACAGCATCCAATGTGCATTGAGAGCTTACTACAGCCAGGTACCATGCTGAGCACTTTGACATGCATTTTAACGTTCAGTCTCAATGAGGAAAAAGTAACTGTGTATAGTCACAGAGCTAATAGATGGCCAAATGACAACTACAGCCCCCAGCAGCCTAGCCTCAGAGCCCATGTACTGCGCCATATTGCCTGGTCAACCCTGAGCTACGATCCACACATTATACCTTGGCAATCAAAGCCCATCTCCCATCCCTACTTTCTTATGCTGCAATAGGCCCTTTAGGGACCTTTCTTGCCTTACACAATCTACTCCCTGTATACCTCTGATGCGTGCCTGTCCCTGCGTCACCTTATCCTTGCTGACAATACGCTTTCTCCTTTAAGTCCCAAATATCCTGAAGACCCAGGTTGATCCTCACTTTCTCCTTAAGATATTTTCCAGTCTGTAGGGATCCGCCCATCCTTCTGTAGGGCTGCTGGGCATTTTGTGCATGGCGTGAAGTCTCCTGCTGAGGGAGTGAGGTGACGCTAAAAATCTAGCTTGAGTTCTGTGCCTGCAAAGCTGTGCACCTGCATGGCACCAGTCACCAACACAGCACCTTTTACTTTTCTTTTTTTGAAATCCTTTTATTTTAGAAAATTTCATTTTCTATCAAAGTAGAGGCAATAGTATAATGGACCCCATGTACCCACCTGAGTATCTTTTTCTAATTCCTGCCAAGGCTTTATATTGATTTGCGTCCTGGTGAGAAACGGGTACACTCAAAGGGGTAATCAAGAGAGTTCAAAGAAGAGCCTATTTATACAGGTATGGGCAGGGTCAAAGGAAACCAGCATAGGGTGTTAAAAAACTGTGGGTCCAGAGGGTAAGGCGATGTTTCTTTATGCACAAGAACTGAAATCACAGACAGGGGCCAAATAACCTGGCAACGGCAAAACCATGACTCATCATTAGGGAAGGAGCCCAAGGAATGATACCCTGACCTTCCTAGTCCCTCCTTCTGACCTCTGGCTGCTGGCTCCCATTGGTGGAAAGCAAGTGGAAGCCAGCAGACAAGGGGACCCCGGGGATGCAATGGTAGGGGTTCTCCTTCAGGGCGCAGACCAAGGCGGAGGGCTGAAGAGTGGGGTCACGGGAAATCAAGGCACCTGGCACAGACAACTGGCAGGCTGTTGGCAGCCCCGCCTAACTGCTAGTCTTACCCTTCCTTTACTGCCTCTGTTATTGTTGCTTGAAAGCTGAAAAACACTCCCTTTCCTTTATCTTGTGCTTCCTGTTTACATATTCTTGTACAATATACTTATACTTAAAATTCTTCCCTTTTCTGCAGGTAATGTTCCAAGGTCCAGAAACAAAAGGCTCTATCCATCAGTTTCCAAAAGAAGAAATAGAAACACACAGGGAAACATATTTAAGCCACGCTCAGCTAGTGAAATCTTACGTGCGATATATTTGTGTATGAATTGGTTTGTCCATCTTAAATCAGAGGTCCCCTGAATAAGCTCCATCTCTTCACCTTGAACAAAACTGACTTCACAATGATCACTATGTAATGAATAATAGAGCACCCAGAGTACATTTCAAATTCCTCCAAAGCTTCACAATATTTACTGCCTCAGAAATGTTCTAATTGAAATTTTCAAAAAGTCATGGGACTACATATCTCTTTATTCTTGCAGGAGAGAACTTCTGTGCTGCCTTTTTATATACCTGGCATTCCAAGAAATTCTTGTTGGATTCGGAGATCGTCTTCCAGATATAACCTCTAAAACGTGAATTGCATCGACTATACTTGACATTCAATTTTATGTGCCAGGCTCCCTGAGCTCTCCCGAATTACAACAGCCCACTGGAATAAACAGTCGCCAGCTCAGGCCAGCCTCTGCTGGTAGTGGAGCTGAGTGGGGCTGAATGGTGACCGTTGGTTCCGGCGTTGCCCCTCGACATTTAGGACGATGATTTCTGCAGCTGTACCTGTGCTGAGCCAGAGGAGAGCTTTGTTCCTTCCAGATGCCGTGTGCACTGCATGGCTGGATGAGACTCATTTATCAGTCGCTGACTGCTCTAGCTTACACTGGGAATGGTACCCCCAGGAGTCTGAGCCTCCAGGAACAATAAGAGACTGCCAAATACACCCAACCTCGAACTGTACCTACTGACGTTCTCGGCTGCTTACAATTAAACAAGGACCTGTGTCCTCAAAAACCTGTTCTCCTTTCTGTGTATTCAAAGGGTAACTTCAGAGACTATGTGGAAATGGAAACTGAAAAACACAGTTGAACAAGAAAATGGCCACTTTTGTCACTGCACAGTGCACCCTGCGGTCGAATCTGTGGATGGCCGGGGCGTAGCCTGAAGGATCAGTAGGGGCGCAGGTCAGCGCCAGGACTCATGAGCCCATTTATTTGTTGCCCCTCACGTTTGCTCCCTTTCTATGATGATCATATCCTGCGTGATTGGATGTGTCTTGGAGCTCATACTACTCTTCCCTTTGTTAGATTTGGCACCAGCCCTTTGGCATGGCAGAATTCTGTTTTTGCACACTCCCAGTCCCGGGAGACAAGGAAAGGAAGGGGAACCTTACTCCAGGCAGTGCAGGTTCTGAGGCTGGGTACACACTCACCCGGGGCGGGGGGAGAACCCAGACATGAGGACCACCAGGGTCGTCACGGTTTATTGACGTCTCACGCTATGCTGTGGCAAGTCGGTGGCACCCATGAACAGTCATGCATGGTTTCTCCATTTTGGTTACTTTCTATTTTGCAACAGCCTGTATAGAAATGAAATCTTTGGCAGTTTTGCAGAATGAGTTTTCTTTAGATCTGGTATGGTCTGAATGTATGTGCTTTGCTCTGATTCGTAGGTTGAAAACCTAATGCTCAGGTGATGAAATTAGGAGGTAAGGCCTTGGGAAAGTGTGAGGCAGAGCACTCATGATGGGGGTTGGTGCCCTCATGAAAGAGGATCCAGAGAGCTGGCCTTGCCCCTTCCGCCGTGTGAGGGTACAGCAAGTCCGTGACCCAGAAGAGGGTCCTCACCCTGCCATGCTCATCTGGGACTTCCAGTCTCCAGCAGTGTGAGAAGTGCATTTCTATTTATAAGATACTCCATCTGTGGTGTTTTGCTGTGGCCACCGGAACAGACTTATGGCTTCTAATCTCATATCTAATCTCATATCACTGACGTGGGCTTCCTTGATCATATCTGAACATTACAGCTGATTAGGGTGGAAGGGCCCCAGGGGACTTTAGGAGGGCTGGTGCAGTCCACCTTGTGTGTGGCTGCAGGCTCTGCGCTGGGACCGTCCCTGGCAGAGCTGACAGCCTCTGTCACCTGAAAGATGTTGAACCTGAGAGACAAAGACCTGTCCTCACAGAAGTGTCCTGCTGTGATTGCCACCATTCACAACCACTCCTTGCAGTTGAGCTGATGCTTCTAGAAGGACCCTGTTGCTCTCTGAATGTGCCTGCTGGGAGGAGAGGCATGCTCAGTGGTCAGCAGTCAGTATTTCTCATCACCACGTGAATGCTGGTAGTTGTTCTAATGAACGGAGTTGCCTAGGGAGGGAAAGGGTCCCACGACTCTCAAGATCTAATGGGGCCTGAAAGCCAGCCACGTCTGAGGAGTGCGGCACTTGTCAGGAAGGTCAGCTTGGCAGTGCCCAGTGGGGTTAGCAAGAGTCCCAGTGCAAGCTGGGGCCAGGAATGGGGAGAAATGGGGTCCCTCAGGGCTGGCTTGCGTTTGTTGGCAAGTGCCTGGCACCTCCTCTGACTGCACGTGCTTTTGGATGGCAAAAGCAGCTTCTGTCCTGTTTGTTGCCGCAAATGAGCTCCAGTCAATACATATCTCTATAGCAATTTCTAATTCTAAGCTAAATATTCATTCACCTCCAGCGCATTTAAAAGTTGTACTGATGTAAGTGGATATAATACTAACACTGGTGCAGAATTCCTTATCTGCAGTTCTAAAATTCAAAAGTCTTCAAAGTTCTTTTTCTGC